ACAGAAGAGTCAATTAAGGAATTCTTTAGAGGATTAAATATCAGTGCAGTGCGTTTACCACGTGAACCCAGCAATCCAGAGAGGCTGAAAGGTTTTGGTTATGCTGAATTTGAGGAACTAGATTCCCTGCTCAGTGCCCTGAGTCTCAATGAAGAGTCTCTAGGTAACAGAAGAATTCAAGTGGACGTTGCTGATCAAGTACAGGATAAAGACTGGGATGATCATTCTTTCGGCCGTAATAGAAATCGGGATTCTGACAAAACTGATACAGACTGGAGGGCTCCTCCTGCTACAGACAGCTTTAATGACTACCCGCCTAGAAGAGGTGATGATAGCTTTGGAGACAAGTATCGAGATCGTTATGATTCAGACCGGTATCATGATGGATATCGGGATGGGTATTGGGATGGCCCATGCCGGGATATGGATCCATATGGTGGCTGGGATCGCTATGATGACTGAGGCAGCAGAGGCAGCAGAGACTATTCCTGGATTGGCAGTGGCAGAAGAGCATTTGGCAGTGGGTATCGCAGGGATGATGACTATAGAAGAGGTGGGGACCGCTATGAAGACCGATAGGACAGACGGGATGATCGGTCGTGGAGCTCCAGAGATGATTACTCTCGGGATGATTATAGGCGTGATGATAGAGGTCCCCCCGCCAAAGACCCAAACTGAATCTAAAGCCTTGGAGTACTCCTAAGGAAGATGATTCCTCTGCTAGTACCTCCCAGTCCAGTCGAGCTGCTTCTATCTTTGGACAGGCAAAGCCCGTTGACACAGCTGCTAGAGAAAGAGAAGTAGAAGAACGGCTACAGAAGGAACAAGAGAAGTTGCAGCGTCAACTGGATGAGCCAAAACTAGAACGATGGCCTCGGGAGGGACACCCAAGCTGGCGAAGTGAAGAAACTCAGGAACAGGAACGGGAACAGTCGAGGACAGGAAGTGAGTCATCGCAGACTGGGACCTCCACCACATCTGGCAGAAATGCACGGAGAGAGAGTGAGAAGTCTCTAGAAAATGAAACACTCAATAAGGAGGAAGATTGTCACTCTCCAACTTCTAAACCTCCCAAACCTGATCAGCCCCTAAAGGTAATGCCAGCCCCTCCACCAAAGGAGAATGCTTGGGTGAAGCGAAGTTTTAACCCTCCTGCTCCATCTCAGAGCTCAGACACAGAGCAACAATCCCCTACAAGTGGTGGGGGAAAAGTAGCTCCAGCTCAACCATCTGAGGAAGGACCAGCAAGGAAAGATGAAAATAAAGTAGATGGGATGAATGTCCCAAAAGGCCAGACTGGGAACTCTAACCGTGGTCCAGGAGATGGAGGGAACAAAGACCACTGGAAGGAGTCAGATAGGAAAGATGGCAAAAAGGATCAAGACTGCAGATCTGCACCTGAGCCAAAGAAACCTGAGGAAAAATTCAGCTTCCAAGTTCAGTTCTGCAAGCAAGTATGCTGCTCTC